TACCCATGTGTGTATCTTTGCGGCGATCATGCTCAATGCACTCTCAAGGTCTTTTTCATCATCCAAATGGAAGGATTTAAAATCTTTCAAATACATTTCATTAACTTTCCCAACAAAGTTTTCCAGAGCAATATTGTTTGACTACAAAAAAAAAACCTCCATGCAGAGCAGCAGTGACACAATGAAGACAAGCCACAGACTTCAGAGCAGAAGAGAAGCTACAGCTCAGCTTGGATGGAGCTACTCCACTTGCATGTAGATGCAAAGCCATTCCTGTGCAGCTACTGAAGTGTTACCCAAGCCTTTCCAGCAAGCAAAAATCCATTCTGCATACAAACAGAGTTTTTATAGCTTAGCACAGTGCTTGGCTGCAGAGTCGAGCTTTTCAATGCATGGTAAATTTTTACTTGAAAGTGGCAGAACTCATGCCAGACCATATGAAATGCCAGCTCAGTGGCAGGAGGTCAAAGTATGGTATCAAGATATTTTATGGAATCGTTCCAAGACAAACTTCTTAAAAGCACTGTGCTATCTAGGGAGGCACAGATTTATGCTACTAGGAAAAGCTAGTAAACAATTTTTATGACTCCTTTTCAATCAAAGGTAATAGTTTTAACACTTTACCTTACAAAAAAATGAAGCAGTAGAGTCTTCTGTAGGCAGTGAGAGCTCTTTCTACACCTATTTAATCCTTGGTTATTTTGTTAAGGTCAAGTATAAAAAAAAAAAAAAGTTAAAGCCCAGAGCTTCTGTGCAGACTGCCCTCTACAAAAAAAAAAAAAAAAAAAAGCCTTCAGATGTAACACTGAGACAAAACCTGTTCATGCATTAAAAAAAATACCATAAAACAATTTAAGAAAGCACAATAGAGTGTGAAGACCAACAGACCTCATAACAACCATTCTCCATTAGTACCTAGAACGACGGCTGCAGGAGACAGTGAAATGTAATTTGAAGTGAAGAAGGCCCGATATTTGCTAACATTTTTGCAGAAGTATTTAAGGTTAACTTAGGTCACAACAGTGACCCTGAAAAGATACCAAGCATGAAGACTCATCATACCGGATTTTGCCAGCTGTCATCACATCATCATTAAAAAAAGAGAGAATGAGAGTAAAGTCCCCTCAAAACCTCATGTCTGTTCAGGGTCTCCCTTTGATCTAGCCAAACGCCGTGGTAGACTCACTCACAATAGCAGATTTGCAAACACTTACATACTCTCCCATTAAAGCATTTCAATTGCCTCAACCTGCCACTTTAACAAACCCAAGTATAAGGCTGTAAATTCAATTAGCACAAATCTCAGCACTCCCAACGTTAAATTTGCAAGTGACATTTAATGGCATTCAACACATGCAAAGCTAAGCTAATACGCTAATGGGCCAGCAAGGAAAATCGTACGACTCCAAAATACGATGCTCCTTTTTCTCACAAGGAAATTAGGGGTGTAGGCTGCATAAAGCAGGAAGAGAGCTTAAAAAAATTCTTCTTAAACCACGGCTGCCAAAGCTCTTCTCTACAGACGCACTGCCCGGCATCATCTCCATACGACCCAAGAGCAACAAGGAAAAGCAGCTGCTTTATTCAGCAAGACCTCCTTCCAATGTGCTGGGCTGTCACTGCAGCACACCTAAGGTAATGCTGCTTCAGTTCTTCAGAGGGGATTGCAGCCTCTCCTGCCACGGCTGCTGGTTCGTCAGACCGATGCTCCCGGGATGCAACGTTTCAGGGCTGCACGGCGAGGATGCAGCGCCGGGTGTTGTGCCAGATGAAGCCAGTCCGACGAGCGCTCCCAAGAAACGCTGCTGGCCGGCTTTCCCAGAGCACACCTGCACCTCAGCAGGTTGAGCAGAAAGCTGCTAGTTTTCACACAGCCATTCTTAAAAAACAAACAAGAAAAACAGCAAGCCTACTAGACATCAGGATTCCTTTTTTTTTTTTTTTCCAAGCAGCAACATGCTTTGTGTTGAACTCTACGTAAACAAAGCAAGCTTCCTTCCAAGAGCCTCAGAATGAAGCAGACAGAAGAGAACAGCTTTGGAGGCATGGTTAAGAGGAGGATTTTTGTTGTTGTTTAAAACCATGGATATTTGCACAAGTCAAACCTATGGTTAGTGAAGATGCTTTTCAGGTATTTATTCACTTAAGTTATAATGAACTATATGCAGCACAGGGAAACTAGTTACACTTGGTAGCTCATTAGGATGGGTATTATTTTTAACAACAAAAATAAAGCATAAGTAACCTGCACCCATTATTGCCTCTGCTAAACACTTATTCTCAAAAACATATTTAGGATGAAAGCATCACAAAAAAACAAACAGAAGATTTCATGCTTTCCTCAGTGTTTTCTGCATCTCCCCCAGCCTTTCAGGGGAGGGCAGGGGGAGAGTAAGAGGAAAAGACTCTAATCATTAAGTTTAATGAACCTGCTCACTTTGGGAATGGAAGCTGTATTAAAAGAGAGAGTCTCTAACCCACAGCACAGAAGCCATGCAGAACAGCAGCCTTTGGAGGGCTGCCCGCCCCTATCCACATTCTGCTTTCCTGGGTGCAAAATACTTCCAAGGACACCAAAATCCTTTGGAAAACTCTGCCAGTACATGGGAGCTGAGGTCATGAGGTCGAGTGTCAAAAAACCCTCACAACTCGGGGCTTTGAGCTCGTTTGTTCTCACCTCTACTTCAGAGCACTTTTTCCTACCTGTGGTTGGTTTTGATATGAATTACGACTGAAATAGCATTCAGGTGCTCTGCTCCATCTCAAGCAGAGCAGCTTGAACTTGCCTCCCTGTGAAGCCTTAAAAATCCTCCCTGCCCAGCGTGGGCCACTGTTGTTTGCTGGGTTTTGTTTTTTGTTGGTTTTTTTTTTTTCCCCTTACTCCAAACAGGCTCCACCTGATACACGGGAGAAGCAGCTTCTGGATCACTTCTGTCTGAGCATTTTACAGGATATACAGTTGCCCCAACTACAAAGCCTTTAGTTCAGCAACTGTTTCTTATCGCCAGACTAAAATTGCTGTCAAATCCAAGCAAGTCCCACACCACACGTACATTGCACATGCCAATCACCCGGTGTTGAACGACACAGAGCAGCAGAGACCAGAACAGGGTAAGAACTTTTAAGTCACTGTCACCGGTAACACATGTATTCCTTCTCACCGTGTCCAGTTAAAGAGAACTCAGTAATTATGTAATTAAAAGCAGCACCTGTTGAAGTTTGAGGAGCATTTAGAGAAGCAATGACACGCATGGAGAACTGGCATATAGAAGGTATTATTAAGAAGTCTGTGCCTTTTAAGGGTACCGTTAACACCGAGTAGTCAAACAGTATTCACAAATACCTGCCAGTCCTAAAAATTGTAAATTTAATAAATTGAAGCACTCAGATAATTGTCACAAGCTCTCATTAAAAACTAATTATACCCAGGGAGACATATTGTCTCTAGGCTGATACACGGACGCTGAAAGAAGCGTGACAAATGATTTGGGAATCACAGTTACACAAATCACAGTTTGCAGACTTCTGAGCTAAATTTAATACTGTTCTACATGCACAAACCCAGAAAAATCAAGGCAACCTCTCTGGATGTAAGTGATTTTCTTATTATTTTAAAACTAGCATTTATCTTCCATCTGCCACCAATGAGGGCCAACTGCATTCTCTTTCCAAACTCTAAACACCCTCATAGAGCTGAAGCAATTTCAATCCCCGCCCAACTATGATCTGAAACGAAACAGCAACATGCGCTATGTCAATCCAAAAACCCATTCCTAAAGCAAACAAACGCGGCCAAGCCCAAACCCACTGACATCAACAGCAGACCTTCCCGTGACTCGAACCGCCAAGGCCATCCTTCACAAACCAGCAAGCAAGGTGGCACAAACCATTCTCTGCTGCAAGGCAGAGCTCCGTCTGCACAAACAGCGCTCTGCTCTCTCCCTTCCCACCCTCACCTCGCGTATTTACAGCGAGAGACCCTGAAGGCGACAAGGCCTGCTTTAATGAGGTTACGCACGAAACGGCACGGATTAGAAACCCCGCTCACAACCGGGCCTCCAGCAGGCACGCAGCAGCAACGCGTAAAGACAGCCACACGCATCGCAGGCCAAAAATCCCACGTCGGCGAGCAATTTCTCCAGCAAACCAGCTGTGCTGCCTTCACCTGTCAAGGCACGGAGGAAGGCGAGGCCTCTCCTGCTCTGCCTCGCCGAAGCCCCCCGGGCAGCACCACCCGCACCTCGGGCTCGCTGCCTGGGGCCCCCACCCCGCTCAGCCGCCTCACCCCACCGGGCGCAGGGGCACCGGGCTCCCCTCAGCCCCACACCTGGTCCCGGCTGCCCTCTAAGCCCTCCGGGGAGGGGGGGGGGGGGCAGCTGCCTTTCACCAGCACCTCACGGGGCCGGGGGGGGGCTCGGCTCCCTGCGGATTGAGGGCCCAGCCCCGCTGCGCCACTCGGCCGCGCTCCCGTCCCCGCCGCCCCCCGCCGCCGTCCCCGGGCCTCGGCTCCCGGCCCCGCGGCTCGCTGCTCACCGGGCGGCGCCGTGCCCCCGGCGCTGGGCTCAGCTGGGCTCGGCTCGGCGCAGCTCGGCCGCCTGCCGGGCGGGTCCCCTGGGCGGCGGCGGCGGCTCCGTGTCCCGGGCGGCGGCGGTGGGCAGAGCGGGCGGGGCAGCGCCTCACGTAAGAGCCCTGTCACCTCCCCGCCGCCATCTTGTGCGGGCCGGGGGTAGGGGCTCCGAGGCCGGAGCTTGGAGCTCTTGCTCGGTCCCGCTTAGGGCTGTGTCTGCCTTTAGCACGGGAAATCGCCGCTTTTCTCGAAATAAGCCGCCTCAGAGCTTCCCGAGAACCTACGTGTAGCTGTAAAAATAAAAGTCAGGAACCCGACGCGGCTTGTTCCGAGCAGCTGAGTGTGCAGGAAATCCCCATCCTGGGACGCGTGAGGCCAGCCGGCTGCCGCCTGCGCCTTCATCTGCGAGGAGGGGAAATTGCAGGGAAACTGCACCTTTTGGCAGGGGAAAGGCACCCCAGGGCCGGTGTGAACGCGGCATGGCACACCTTTCCTGCTCCTGGCACCACCTGGTGTTGGAGCAGCCTCTGGAGTCTGCCTTTGACTCCCCAGTCTGTTTGGCGTCTGCTCACCTGAGTTGTCCCGGCGCCAAGATCTTGGGAGAAGTCAGCTGTTTTTAAACAATCTTACTTAAATTCACAGAACAACACAGCAAGGGAGGGCCTCTGTATGTTGTCTACTCCAAAACAGGTAGGTGATTAAACTTAAGTTTCATGAACGCTAGTAACACATCCTATTTCAAACCTTTCACTTCAAAATCTGCCTCTTGTTAAAGAACAGCAACATACATTTTTCCTACCCAAAATGCAAGTCAAAGCCATTTTAGAGTGCGTTAGCCATGAGAGCTGAGCCCAGCTTCCTGAGGATTTTGTTCTTTGGTGTGGGAAGATCTGCGAGGTCTGACTGAAACTTTTCCTGCACTTCAGGCGTTTGTTACCTGTCCAATTAATTAGGCAGCAGGTGTTTGTTACCTGTCCAATTAATTAGGCAGCAGGTCACAGAGACAGCAGAGCAGCACTGCACCCAGCTACCCCTCGCCCAGGCAGTGGGTGAATGAAAACACACAAGGGAGGACTGGATGTGCTGGCATGTTATACTGGCATCCAGTAAGAGACAGTTTTTGCTGATCTGAGCACATAAATATATAGAAATATATAATAATAACAACAATAAAAGCCTCATGACTTATTGCAACCAGTGAGTGATTGCAGACATTACCCAAACAAAATAAACAGTAAGCTTGGATAAATAGTAATATATGCACTGGGGAAGGTGAAACAACTTGTTTCTGTTATTTTCCTCTTGATAATTGTTTCTCACCTTCAGCTTCTCTCTACTCAGTGTCCTGCTCCTCTGTAAAGAAATTCCAAATACTGCAGTTTCTTAAAATGGGGAAGTCCAGCATGAGATTTTACTTGACTTTCCTCTCAGGCAAATTATTTACAACCCTGCTTTTAACTGGTTATCTGTGCTCAGCACTCGTGGGATAAATATAAAGCCATGTTTTTCATCAGAATAAGAAAATAGAGTCTGAATAGAGTAGCTGGAAGCAATGCTGGGCTAGGGAATGTTTTATATCTTTTTATTTGCTTCCCTTTTGCAATGCTATCAAGGCAGGTATGTTCCTAAGAGGAGTTTCTGCTTTTTGGCAGGGTGCTGTTTTCTCACTGACAATCACTTCTTGCAACCTCATCCCACTGATGCTATAATAGGATTAACATTGTAGCTGCCACTTCCCCCAGGGTAATCATAATAAACTCCCCTTTTCCAGGGTTGTTCCCCCGGCATGGTCATTTTCTGGCAAATAATATGAACCCGAAGGCGGTGCAAATTGATTCCTAGGAAGCCTGACCTCCCTGTTGGGAACTACAAAGGGCTGTCCGAGAGGCTTACAAACAGCTGTCCCAGGCTGCTGCCTGGGCTTAATCCTTCTGATCCTCTTGGGATCCTGAAAGCTACCTCTCCTGCAATGCTATCGCCACTCCTGAGGTACCAGGAGTGGGGGGATGCCAAGAGACTGCATGGATGCCAGGTAACATCATTGTGGGGACCCTTGGGGACCGGAGATGCCTTTTCAGGAGTGGGAGGGGATGACCGACAGCTCCACTTAGCCGGCATTTCTCCTCCAGGCACTTGTAAGCCATGCTGGCTGGCTGTCTCTCCTTACCTGGGCACCAGAGGGGAATGGGATGATGTGTGATAGCTTGACTCCCCCTTCGGCTCTGCCGAGATAGGTGTTGCCTCATTTAACAATAAGAGCGAAGAACTGAAGCTATTTAAATCATAATAAAATGTTGGAGGCATTCTCTCTTAATTTTTGCTCTTTCTAGTGGTGACCCGAGTTTATCATATCCCTCAAGAAGAGACCTTTAGGATGCTAAGGAGATTACCAGTCCCGAAGGAGTTCATTCATATGAAAATCTGAATCATGTTTTTAGTTAGATGAAGCGCCCTGAATGGTAGCAATAAGTTTATAACTTTATAAGCATGAATAGCAATTTAACCAATTAATCAAAATCAATGTACATATTAATGAATCAACACTAACATGCTAGTAGATCACTATCATTAATAAATGAATCGCTGATCAATTATTAAGAAATTCAGTTCTAAGAATTCAGTTCATATTTTAATATGGAATACTGCTGTTAATACTTTATTAATGAACTAATACTAAAGTAAATTAATGTTTCTATAATACTAAAATAATGATAATAGCATGCAAGTGCTACTAAGCTAATTCTGAAATCAGATTACTTTCTACCTCCATTTACATTTACAACCCAAACTAATGTTTTCCAGCAAAAGTTTGCAGCCAGACCAATTGGACCCTGGGACAGAGGCCCTGAGTTAGGGTCAGTGGGACTAATAAACTGCCCTCCCTTTTTGCTATCACACAGCATGGAAAGCAACCCAGAACACACCTAGTGTTCACAGGGGGAGGACCATGCTCACATATTTGCTGCAGTTATTTCCCGCCTCCTCCGTGACACTGCTGTGCCAGGAGAACATCAGTTCCATCAACAACAGTTTCAATTTGCCAGTTTCTAAGCTTCACTCATACAGAGGGCCCAAGGACGGCATCTTCTTCACCCCACACTCACCACAGGTACATCTTTCGGTAATACAACGACCATTCACCCTGTCATCATTGATGATGACACTTCATTACCATATGGCATCATTTACTCACTGACGGTACTTCTAACATCACTTGGGATCAGTCTGCGTCATTTACTTAGGTTGCATCACTTGTTTAGTGGCTTTATCCATTACATTGCTTAACATTCAAAGACATTAACTCTGTGCCTACATTTTACTATCAAAACACCTCATTTATTCAGTAATTTTGAGCTACCCCTGAAGTTAGGTGGGGTTGCACATACTGAGACATTTTTTAAAGCCTGGCAGGAGTGGACATTGCTCTGAGTTCATTGCACAGTGTCATGGGCTTTGTCCCTTTCCCCTAGTTGGTGGCAAACAGCGTTAATGGGAAAGATAGCAGCAGCAGAGAAAAATAAATAAATACACTGTTAACAGAGTCAAAGGACACACTGCATTCATATGCGATGGTTTTAAGAAACTGTAGAATAAGGTTGTGGGTTTTTACCTCTGCATGAAAGAGACCAAAATATCTATTTCCAAAGGATATAGTAAATTCCAATCCAGCTATTTTATTATTGTAGCAAAAGATTAATGGTGAAATGATGTCATCTTCTCAGATCAGCAGTGGTATTAGCAATGTGTTGCAGGCAAACAGCATTATAAATCGGAGACTGCAGAGTTTTCCTCCTGTTTGTTTCAGATCATTAGAAAAATATATAATTTAATTTCTTTAATTAATTAATCTGGTTTTAATGGGTGATTGCTGCTGATTAAAACAGCATATTTCTTTAGGGGAAAAGGCTTCAAATTTTGAAATAAAATGAGAAATGCGTAAGAGGACAGTAGTAACCATTTCCCCATTTAAAGAGAAAGAAGAAGAAGGAAAAATTTAAAAAGGAACATGAAAGACGGTAAAAGAAGGAAATAAAAAAAGAATCAGATGGGGACAACAGGCAAACAATGAGGACGTACAGAGTTTTAAGAGACTAGCAGCAAACTGTGCAGGGCTGCAGTTGACTTGCCCAGAGCATCCAGTGTCTGAGCAGGGAGTCCCAGCTGCTCAGGACTTGCAGCCACTGCTCTCCCCAGCGCACGTTTCCTGAGAACAGAGGCTCCCAGACTTTTTGTGTCCCTTACCATCTTCTGTCCTTCAGCTCCAATGTTCTGCATTACTTCATCTTTCAAGGAGAGAGCGTGTGCTCATGGTGAGGCTTGTTGAAACCCACCACGCATTCCCATGCCGTACTCCACTTCTCATCAGAACAGCACTGCAGCTCACCTGAGCCGAACCCCTGATGCCAGTTCATGGAGCAAATTTGTTCAGCTGTGCTTTCTGATTGGAGGGAGCATTTTAACACCAGTGGTGGTATGTGCTCTATGGTGTGTCACTGCCATGGAGTTGAAAAGTGGCTGACAGAGGGCACTTTGTTACCGTCTCCATGTAGGAGGGTAGCGGCAGGCACAGGAGATGTACAGCAGCAACATTAACTGTAATAAAATAGATGTAAAAGTGGATTTCAAACATTGCTGTGTTGCGTGGCTCAGGGCAAGCCCAGTTTAAGACATTCTCCTCTGTTTCCTTGTAAAATCCTGTGCTTCCCAAAAGAGGTAAATTGTATTTTTTCCATACACACACAGCTTAGCACAGATCAGCTGAGTCTGAACTGGAGCTGGCACCACCAGCATTCTGCCGCATCTTCCTCCCTGCAGACCGTGCCAGCACGCTTGGGCAGGTCCTGCAGCACAGGGCTCTGTAAGGAGCCTAAGAGTCATTAATTACAGAATGGTTAAAACTAAATTATCTCAGCTGGACTGTGGGCAGGAGCTGGAAGAAGAAGAAGAAAACCTTACTCTACAAAATCAGCAGTGATCGGATGGGATTTCACAGCAGAAGTCACACAGCTATGGCTTTGCAGTGACTCAGGGAGCCACGAGGGGAGGCTTCACAATTTCTCCCCAGTCAGCTCCCAGCTTTAAACAGCGGAGGAAGTAACACAAAGAATGCTCTTCTTACACTTCTTGCCAGCATGTTTGTTCCCAGAGCTGTGTGCAAAAAATCATGGGAGAGCAGGAAGAAATGGCTTTGCAGTGCTCAGGGCTGACTTTGCAACGTGGCAGAGGCCATAAGAAGGCAGATTTATTGGGTCAAAGCAGTTACAGTAAAGGAAGACAAATTCTGACTCAGTTCCAGGAATGCCCTGCTTGCACAAGAAGGGCTGTTTCCTCGGGGCCGTCCCATGCTGCAGCTTGTGCCTGTGCCCCTGGGAACAGCATCTGGTCCCAGCATCTCCAGGACCCTTTTGGGCTGAGGGAGATACCTGCAGGGAATTCCCCAGTGCCTCCTTGCCTGCAGCTGAGCAAGCCCCCATCCTGAAGCCTCGCCTTGCACACCCTGGCCTCCACCTCTCTGAGGCCTCCCTGGGCTCACTCCTGTCTGGCAATCCCTGTGAGCCCCAAACCAGTCCCAATATCTTGGTGTCATCAGCCAAGTGCCAAGCAGAGGGGAACGCTCCCTTCCCTCAACCTGCTGTCTACCCCAAGTCACACTGAAAAAGAGGACAATGTCTCCAGGTCATCTTCAAGTCGCCTCAGCTGGAGACCAAAATACCTGTCTGGAGCAAAGCTCTCCTTCCTGCTCAGTTTCAGGATCTGATCCTGGAGGCTTCTATGGTTGCACCCAACTATTTATTCTTCACCTCACGTGATTTTTGGAATTTCCAATTCAAAATGTTTTGTGGATTTTGTCCTACTGTGATGCTGGCAACCAGGGACAGCACAATTTTCTTTCTCAAACTGGGTTTTCTCAATTTTCCCAGTAGGGGCAGCACTTGCTTTTCAAGTGAGTCTAAAGGAAGAAAACTATCTGTATTTAAAAAAAAAATGAATTCCTGTTTCTTGAATAGCTTGAATAGCAAGAATGATTTCAGCACGAAACTGAACAAAGTGGGTTTAGTAGTTATCTTTTCTTTTTAATGTTTAACATGCTGCCTAAAGCTGAGGAGTGATTTGTGTCCTGTGTCATCACATAAACTGCATTACTTGTATTACAATAAGGTCTCTAAGTCAAACCTCTTTTTACTCTAGTAATAAATATAATAATAATAAAGATATTATGATTGTCATGATCTATTATGGGCTGGATTGGAGACCTCCAGAGATCCCTTCCCAGCACCACTGTTGTCATTGCTGTCATGCCGTGGGCAGCACTGCCTGGGAAATTAAGGACACATTTTAACAGAATAATTCTCTGTCCAGATCTCCCCATACCTTTTGGGGACACACAGAATTCTCTCATAAAGCAGCCTAAGGTCCTTTTACCAACTTGATAAATACATAAAATAAAAGAAATCTTCAGGGCACCAGGTTCTCCAAGTGAGGACGAGCTTTATTATGGGTTCAGTGTTAACACAGTTTGCACTGTAGCAGCCTCCAGATGCAATAATCTAATCTCCCTTCAGCAAGGGAGAAGCAAGCATGCAAGGGGAAAAGCTGACGCCTAGGTTCTCATTTTTATGGTGACTTTTAGTAACTTAAAGATCTACAACCAAAATCCAAGTGGGTCTAACATACATTACTTCAAGAGAATCATTGTGTAAACTATATAAAGGTCAAAATCACAGAACCCCCTCACCATTGCCAAGCATGGGAGAGAGCCTAACCTCTGCCAGGTGCCTAGAAAATTTATCGCTGCAAAAAAAAGGTTGTTAATGTCTCTGCTAAAGAAAGAAAAGGGAGCTACAAATCACATTTGTCCTACAGGTCATCCCAATTTTATTGTGGTTCTGACCTTCCTTTACTTGGGCTGCAAGTCCTTCTCGGAGGAGTTGGTAGGCAGATGTTTTGCTGGAAAAACACAGGAACCAGAGCAGCTCACACTGAATTCAAGGGGAGTTTTGTCCCGGAGAGCTGGTCAGATGTGTCAATCCTATTAGAAGCATTATTCACGGGTCACAGCACTAGGGCTGAAGGTTGAATATGTTTGTTCTGCAAATTGGGCTAATGTGAAGACCATGAAAGGGGGTATGTATCGTGTCTGGCCTCTTGCTGGAATCTGAGATTGCAGTGTATTACATTTCCCTGAGATTACATTACCTCAGATACGATTTTATGGTAACTTACAGCTAGGAAAGGCTGTAATTTCATTAATAATGGCTACCTTCTTTTTAACATTTGATACAATGCAAGCAAAACTTTTTTCCTCTTTGTTCGGAATTAGACAGAGGGAAAAAAATAAATCTGAAGACCCTCGATTTGGTCAAAGCACAGACTTGCTCCTGACAGGCGCTGTGATACCAGGTAATGTGTCAGCCGGCAAGGCAAGAGGTTTCGAATAAAAATGTAGATCACGGAGATGGCATCATGAGAGGTCACCTAAAGCTAAGGTCAACAGAGCAGCCCCATCCTAAAATAAGCTGTGAGTAGCTTCAATGCCTCTTGTTGCTCGGGCTGCGCACACCAGTCCCACACTGCTGCCTGGGAAACAGATGGGGAGCAGGGGACTTCACATGGCTTTACCAAGCACCACTGCAAGTGCAGCGACTTCGCTGTCAGACCTCCTGGCAATTGTTTTCTTTGCTGCACTTGCTTTGCTGCGACACTGCTGTCATGGCACATTCCAGTCATGGGCTAAGAGCAATTATTTCTGCATCAGTAATTTGATTTCAGAGCTTCACCTGCCATGATATCACTACTGAATGTGCTTCCTTGGTGCAAGAGTGATGTGTAAGGCATTACAAATCATAATACAGTTTTTTTTTTTCTTTCTCTCTCTCTCTCCCTCTTTCTCTCCCCCTTTCACTGTAAAATGCCAAATCAGGTTTTCTGCTCTCACCTTACAGCATAGACACTGCTATTCCTGATATACAGGAGATTCACTCTGTGCATGAAAGAGGATTCCTTCTACAAGTTTCTTTCCTTTTTAAAGGCCAGGCAGGGGTTGTCCTGTTCCCTCAACAGGTCTTTGTGAAGGCAATGGATGACTACCAGGTGGCATGGTTGCTGTCTGTCCCCAGAGACATCCACAAAAAGTGAAGGCAGGGCTTGTGGCTTAAATACACAGCAATAATAACACAGTGCTAATAATAATAGTATTTTAGGTGAGTGCTAAAACACAGGAAAGCTGTTTTTAACTGAGTGTGGCATAGTATTTTTGAAACAGGATGTTTGATGTAAATTTTGTGAGAATAATTCATATTTGATACCTACATGAATACAGATGTAATTTGGATGGAACGCACAGGCCGTTTAGAAATGGAAATCTCATTATCCTAGCAGTAATTCAGGACTATCAGAGCAAAGCTTACGATCTGTAATCAGTAAGACAGTATTAGCATATCAGAGTTAATTGCAATAAAGTAAAAGATGCTGATTAAAGAACATTTTTCTCCATGTAAGAGTTTCTAAATCCTATATGCAACAGCACCAGTGGGCCAAACCTAGCCTCTGATTTGTTGAACCCTTCACCTTGCTGAGTAAAGGAGAGAAAAGGTGTTTTTGCTTCCTGCCAGGCTGGCCCTGTCCAGCAGAGGGAGTACACAGGCAGCCCTTCGCACTCACTTGGTTTCCTGGGCCTGTCAGTGGCAGCATGCAAGCATCCTTTCACAGAGGGTCAGTTTGCAAGACCAAGCTTTTATGTGTGTAAAAACACCTCATGCAAGAGAACGGGCAATCATTGCAGCAGTGAAATAAGCACCTAGATAGGAAGCTTTAAAAAAGTCAGCTTTCTGTTTTGTGGTTTCTTGTTTGTTTGTTTGGTTGGTTGGTTGGTTCATTTTGTTTTGTTTTTTAGATACGGCTCTACCATTTGCAGGAGCAGAGCACAGAGCATCCCCACTGCACAGACCTGTGTTCCATAGGAACATATCACTTGTGGTGTAAGCCCAAATTCAGTCTTTGCTGTATTACATATAAAGGGAAAAACACCATGATTATTTAAACTCCTTTTCATTACCTTTGGAGCTAGGAGGACAGAGGCTAAAACCGTGGGTGAAAATGCTCATCTCTTCCTGATAATGTGACAAAACCCCAGGTGCAAGAAACAGAAAGGCTCGGCCCTGCTCTTAGAGGGATGCACTTAGTCCCCAGGGCATCTCACGTGTTTCTTCCTTACTGAGCTGTAGAAATAGTGACACCTAGCAGGGCAGCAACCAGCTGCAAGGGCAAGGGATGGAGCAGCCACAGGGCTGTAAAACTGAGACCAGTGCTGTCCCTCCAGCATCCTCCTTTCAAATCCACAATGTCACAAGCTTAAATTTGCGACAAGTTCTGCTTGAGGAGTTACCACAGAGTATTTTTGATAGGCGCATTTGCAAAAAGCATCATTAATGTTTATCCTTTGTAAAGATACATTGCTACAGGCCACGTGCTGCAGTCAGGACAGTATAGCTTATATCCCTGCAAAATGTCCGGGGATCAAACAGTTCATTCTAGATTATTATTTAAGATTTGGACCAGGATCATGCATGGAACAGTCTCTTTTACAGAATCACCGTGTCACCAAAGTGCTGGACCTCATGGGGTCTCTACCCCACGTCCTGCTCACAGGAGTTAGCTCCAGCCCTGACCTGCTTGGCATCAGCAAAGCCCAGGACACATCAATTTCTGTTGGAAAATGTTGCAACTTTCCCCTTATATATGGTGAACTTGTTTTTTCCCTTACAAAGGCACTTCTCTGGCTTATTTTAAAACCCACTGATCCTGAGACGTCAACAGCTTTATTATCTCCATGCCTGAGGGCTGTTCCTGCAACAAGTGTGACAGAGAACAGCTAAGTGCTGGAATTCGGAGAGCCAAGTTCACAGTTGCAAAAATTTCCTTCCAAACTATGTACCAATAAAAGCACATCTTTTCCTTGCCCTGGATAGGAAGCCTCAGTAGGAGCTCAATGTGTTGTTTTGTTGGTTTTTTTTGATGCCTTTTGAAGCATTTCTTGGATACTGTCTGAGCTGGTCTCTGGGTCTTCTTCTGCCCGGCACTCAGACCTCCGACCCAGCGCTCATCCACATCTGAGGATGCAGCTCCCACTGCGATGGCGTGCCCCAGCATCACTCCTTACCATTGGGATCAAGGAGGTCTCAGGATAAATCTGTGTATTGAACTGGCATCTGTCCTGAAGTTCTCCTTTGGGAAGTTTGGCGGGTTCTGGCCTGGCACTCCTGCGAGGTCGCCGTGCCACAGTGCTCTCTCTCAGCTGATTCACCCGATTCGTCTCCTCAGAATACTTCTGGCAATGACGAAGTATTTTTCAGTGTTGGTCTGCTTTGCTGATGCCTTCAGTTCAAGTACAAGGACTTCAGTACCAGCTCTGTCATCAGAGATCTACAGCTATATCTAGAAAATGGCTTAGAACAGATCCCTTTCTCCTCCCCTTCGAATACAGAACTGTATATGGGTAAGACAGTCATTTCCATGGAGAACAAAGAACAAACTGAAGCAATTCTGCTGACTCCTAATGTCTCCTTTCTGTCTCCAGAAATAGCTCACATTTTTGTTTCCAAATCAATTGAGAAAGGCTAATTGGAAATTGGAAATGGCAATTTGTCATTCCTGGGTGACACAAGTGTATCTGGTTTGTGGAGGAATGGCCATACAGCGCCAGACGTGAAGGCTCATACATCTACGCCAGCGTAAAACTGCTGCAGTGAGACTTTCCCAGCACCACGCACGGTGCCACAGGGCTTCTCTATGTCTCAGGTTCTCTTTGTGCTTAACAGCCCATGATTATTTTCATCTAAAAATAACACACTCTAAGGTCCTGGAAGAATCAAGCAGCTTTCCCATGCCAAGAAGAAGCGCTGACTTTCTGTGTCAGTTCAAAGTTATTCTTGGTAATGAATTAGCCCTTGTTCAGACCACACGTACTTTAATGGGCTCCTTGACTCTACCTGCCTTGCTCACAGCAGCTTCAGGAGCCAAGTGCCAATATCCACACAGGAGTCAAACGCTGCAGGGCAGACAGCTTTCATCTGGGAAATAAAGCCTATCAGCACTGCAAAGCTATCCAAGAGGAAGTCTCTAACACCAGCTGACGTAATCAAAGCTTTTGCAAGGTGTGTTTTTCTTACAGCAGAATATGTGGGGGCTTAAAATCACTATTATAGTAATGTGATAGT